TGGGACGGCGATTTTCGCCGCGATTCACTGCGAAATTTAATTTCACGCTGGGACGTTCGTCGCGTCGTACACACTCCCGGGGCTGTCATCGATGTCTTCCAGATCTCGGATAATATTTTGCCCGAGAGCAGCGCCGAGCGTTCCAAAGATAGTCGCCGCTTCTGCGAAATCATCAGCAGCAGTGCGAAGTTGCACAACGCGGGTGCTGGAAAGAGCCGCGTGCGACGATGCACCTGATGATGTTGGCGATATGAAAGACAGAGAGAGAGGGGGGAGCACGTGTTTCAATTTATTTCGAGAGCCGCGACGGTATCGGCTATATCCGACGTTTCGTCATCGAGGCGCGGCATGAAAACGATGCTGTGGCATTCCTTTGTAGCCCGCGCCGTGTAACTCGATTCTCATCGAGTTTCGAGCCTTCGACGAGACGTCGACGGTAGACGTTATTTTACGATTAAACGGGGGACCGGAAGCACGGTGAGGCTCTACCACGCGCGAAAATTCTCTTTGAGACGGTTAATAAATTCGTGAGGCGCGCTGGAAAAAATAAATGGATGTATGTATTTCGGTCGCGAGCTGACAACCTCGAAATTGCACGCGAACTTTCTCTTTTCTCGTTTCATCGCTCGTAATTTGGCCTGGTGCCGTATTTCGCATGGTGCACGGGGCGCCGGAAAATCGCGTCCAGCTCTGTCCGCAGACAGAGATCGCGGAATCGATGAAATCTCGGTGGATTTTAATTGCTCGCTTGTGGGGATTTCCCAGCGGGAAATTATCATTGTGTAATAATTGTCGTAAGGTAATAATCGTTTTTTAAAGTCCGTCCTTCCAGTAAGAATTTAGCCATTCCCGATCACGTTCCGATAAGAGATGTCGTTTGGTTTGTCGCTAGAGTATCTTTGTCTATGACCCTGATAGAAATCTACGCAGTTTTTCTAGACACCCGTTCAGTTACTGTCTCGTATCAATGGATTCTCATTAGTTATAGCAATACCGCGTAGGAAATGGACAAAAACCGAGTTTTATTCGGGGATACTTCTAAGGCCGAATTGCCCGTTTCATGAGCAGCAGGCCTGCTTATTAACACGTTGAATGCCGCGTAAATCAATCTAGTGATAGCAAAACATTTGTTTGGACTGCAATCTGGATCTGCAATCCAGAGAAAGCGCACGGCTGCGCTCTCTGCGTCATCCTTTGATTCGCGACTCGATGTTTACCGCGAAATCGGCTGGAAATACAATAATTTGGATTTCATACGAACGCGCGAAATTCACGCTCAAGTGCTGATCGAGAGTAGAAAAAAAAAAGAAATTTCACCATACCATAGCAATGGAAGGTGATGTGATAACAGCGTTCCTCCGCAAGAGCGACGAAAAGAGAGAGTCATGCTAATGCACCCGCCAGCGGAAATGGAGCACTGCGTGCGGTTCCATTATCGTTGAAAACTGCGCGCTTCCAGACGGAATCCAGACGAGCCTCATGAAAGCCTCTGTTATAGACTTCCGAGCGTCATAGCGAGCCAGAGGATCCGATGCTAATTACGACGAACGCATCCACATCCGCGTACAACCGTCATTCTATACTTAGCGCCGCGTCAGATTGCGTGTGATTCCCCCGCGAACGGTGTAGGAAAACTGACTGACATTTTCCGGGAAAATCGGCCACGAGCAAGAAAACCTGAACTTACTCTTAATCGACTTTCTCTTTAAAGAGGATATTGATCTTGATACACGCCGTTCACCGTTATTTATATTCTTTTTTGCTTGATTACGTATGTACTAAAGGACGCTTTCCGTTAATCAAGATTGCCGTTATTATTATTTATAACTAGTATTTATTCGTGGTTGGTATTTTTTTTAATTCTTCCATCAAACGTCAACATTTTGGCAAATAATCGGGTAGAGATGAATTCAGTGAGAGGTGATAAATTGGCGGAATATTTTTTTTATCAGATGCGCGCTATTTTAAATTTCTTCACTCGCTGTAGAACGGAGAAAAATATGTTTGCCGTTGTAGCGAAACCATCGTTGCTGCATATTCGTTGCGACGTCAATCGAATTTAGTTGGCGTAACCGAATCAACGAATTATTCGTTATTAAAGCGGAAACATTGTTGTCGCTAAGATAGAAAATATTCGCTGGTGGAATGTATTTTTACAGCAAAACAATCTGCAGATTCTGCAAAACAATTCAGAAAATCGCAGTCAGTAATTATGACAAGTTGTTTTGCTCGCCATACAATAACTGACGTGAATGCTGCCGTGCGACAGCATAAAATTTCTCGTACCGGCGAGTGATTCTTTCCCTGTGCAGCTTCTTCGCGGTATGTGAGATCACGTTATCGATACCGTGCCTCTGATTGCGTGCGGAAATTAGACGACGCCATTTCCACCGATAGCAGCTTCGCCGGGCAGGAAATAGTTTCCTGGTTGAGCACCGTTACATCTTACGTAACAGCCCCTTCTATAGTAATACCGCGTTTCTTTGCGATCGACGGATGGGTTCAGCGTCGACGCCGAAATCTTTGGGAGTCTCTCGCGTGCGCGCTCGCAAGGGCCCTCGTTTGCCATTATTTCGGGAGGAAGCCCGGATATTTTCGCCTGCTAGACGAGAGAACAGAGGCGGCTTGGGCGAACGATTACATCATCCTAGTATGCGGGATCAAGGACGGCAAAGCGCGTGCTGAACGCCGCTCTCGAAGGATCTGCTCTCCGATCTGTTCGCGCGAGTACGCGTGTACTCGCTCGCCGGAGAGTGCCTTCTCCCTCCTCGCTTTCCACAGCGGCTACGTTCGGCTCACGACACGGTCAATTCGTTTTATTCGAATTTATAAATTCCACCGGCTCCGCAGTGTATTAGCATATCATTTACATAAATTCCAACTTTTACCGATATACACGCGGTGCGATATATATATATATATATATATATATATACATGAGATTTACATAAATTATAATCATGCAAATTAGTCATTGTCCACTGAAATCAGAATGTGACGAAGTCCGTATATGTTATGTAGGATGAGCTCTCGGCTATAAGCTTTAACATATGGCACGTATTACAGTGTTCCAAAGTGGTGGAAGAATAGATGGACAACAGATGGTTCAGGGGATCCGGAACGCGTAGGAATTTGGCTTTCGGATTATTTGCGAATTCTCTTTCGTTGTTCGATTAATGAAATATACATACATAGTAAAAAACATTTTGTATCTGTGTTAGGATCGGTCCTTGTTGAAATTTTTGTGTTAAATTTTTTTACACGCGTGTGTTAATTTAACATATTATGTTTATGTTACCTCAATGTTTTGCGTTTAGTTGATATTCAATGTGCGTAAATGTTAAATTAACGCTTTTATATGTTAAAATAATATATTTTATACTTCTCAGCGTCGATGTATTATGGATATTAATTTCGTATTAATTTTTTACGTAATATTTGTATTATTTTTCAACATATTCATCTTGTGTCACAATTAACACAAAAATTTGTGTGGACCGTTTAAGACATGTGAAATGTATTCAACTTAACACGAAATTTTTTATAAAAAAATTTGTATCGACGAGCGTAACCTGGTTCTCTTTTAGGAAAGATTGGATAGATATTTCTGAACCATTTTAACGAGAATCACATTAATGAGAAGTTCCTCTCGAGCCTTTGTTCATTCCGACGTTTTATTGTAAAATGTCACTCCTTTTCTCTCTCTTTCGAGGAACACTATGAGTCTCAAATTGTTCATCTTCCACGCTTCCATTAAACGTGACGCTTAAACGGAAGTACAGCCGCATTTTGCGATACGCAATTGTGTCGTTTTATTGCCCAAGCGATCGGTCATTCCGGCCTAGAAGCGGAACGAATGTGCCGCTTTCGAGCGGCCAATTGTTATTTATACGTAAATACTGAAGGCATCTGACTTACCTGGTATTAACGAGTCGGGAAAACAGGATGCTGTCCGCCTGTTGCAAGTTGAACGACGTCTCCGGTTACCGGCATACTAACGCGATAGTTAGCGTACATACGTGGGTGGATAAGTGTGCGTTGCTGCAATCTTTTTCTATGACATGTTTTTCGAGGATGGGAAACGTCTACTTAGGAATCCGAGAATAGTCCGATGAACGATGGCGTGTGTGTGCGTGTCGGGCGGCGACGCGGTGTCTATATTTTTAAGTGGCTATGTGATTAATGTAATTTGTGTCTATTCCGTCTGTTTTGTTCATTCGTCTTCTTTACGATCATTGATAAGTTGATTGATTTATTCACACATCCACTCGACAAAACGTCGACGTTACTCGACGCTTTCTCATTTGCAAGTGCACGATTAGCCCGAACGATTCTGACGTAATAAAACAAATAATTTTGTTTAAACACTCTGCAGCGTTTATTTGTTACGAGAGAGAGAGATTATTTCATCACTTTTAATATTATAGGAATTTCTGTTAGTAATGGCACGCCTCTCCACCGGGTGTTTAAGAATTAAAATATCAGCGGATAAATAATCCACAATCTGGATGGATCTCCCACGATTTTCCCTGCATCCCCGATAACAGAAAGGCGAGTTAGATAACTCGCTTGACCATGAATAAACCGCATTACAGCATGTAAGGAGAGCGACGGCGATGACGATGATAATAATAATATAGCGTTCCTTTTTTCCCGCACGTGGCAGCGTGTCGCGATCCTGAATTAGATCTCGCAGTTCCAAGGTTGTACGGCAAATAAAAGCGTGCGACCTCTGCGGGTGAATTTTTATCGACTGGGCGATACCGGAACACACGGTTTGCCGGTCGCACATATTTTCTCCGAGGAATTCACGATAGTTGAATAATTGCCGGAGAACCTTCTCCTTCGCTCCCTCCACCTTCCTCCCGTTCGCTCGAATACATCTCCAAAGACACGCCACAAGGGACGATAGCCGGCGCGTCGGGTCGAGTTGCGAATAATCCGATCTTCGTCCCTACCGCGCGCACGCACCCTGTGAACGGTCGTCGGTTTACTTGCAGAAGCGCTCGCGCGCCCAGGCAGTCCAGGAGAACCTGAGATGCCCCTCCGAGGCGTCGCCGCGGCAAGGAGGGCTCCCGTGTCTGGGATTTCCGCGAGTCGAAATTTCCGCGGCGCTCACGGAGAGCCGAGGAGCCTCGGCGGGATTCTCTGAAGCTTCCTCGCAGGGACGAACAATCGCGCTCCTGAGTGCTCCTCCGAGTGAGCAGAAAAGGAAGAAAGAAAGAGAGCACGTACGCGTCGCGGGGTGGTGGTACCGGGAGAGAGAATGTCGATCGGACGACGACGACGACGACAGGGTTGCCGGAACGACGACGAGAGGCAGTCGAGTGGAAACGGTGGTGGTGCGGCCGGGAGCGGAATTAGGATCGCGAGGGGCCAGCTGGCGGACTAATGCGGTCCCGCGATGATCCGCGAGGACGAGACGGTGGTGGGCCCCAGGTGGAACTATGTAAGAGGCGCAGCGCGCGGGAGAGACGAGGTCGTCTCGCCGCCGGCGCGGCTCAGGTGCCACGTGGTAGAAGAGGTTGGCCTTATAGAGGGTTTATAGTTTGCGTAGGATAGACGATGAGCGTCGAGGTCGACACGCTGGAACTCGAGGTCTTCGAGGTGAGTCCTCAGCCCCTCTCGAGGACGCGACGAACGGAAGTCTCGCGCCTTCTTATCTCTCCCCGGTGGCGAGCAGATAACGCGCGATCGCGCCCAGCCGAGACGTTTTTATCCGGATGAAATGATTGCTTAACCTCTTGCTATTTTCTCAAGATTCCACGCGCGAGACCGACCGTCCCTGCTACGGAGCGCTCGATTGAAAATACCGAATCCCCGGAAAGACTCCCCCTTTCTGCTATTTATCGAGTCGACGCAAAAGTTCCGCTTCTTAATCGAAATGCACGTATTTCATTTGTTTACTTTAAGATACAGCGAACCAATTAAATATGGCGCCTGGAAGAGTTGATTGAAAAGCAATCAATTCAAATCAGAAGAATTGATTAAAAGACGGAATTAACTTTTGCGTCGAATCAGTAGAAGTAATCCGACGAATTAACGATACTTGATTATATTTGTTCGATTTCATGCAGATTGCGCGCGAGAAACCGAGCGAACGTTGCTTTTATTATTCAACGCGGTTTTCAGTTACATAAGAAAGACGTGATGGTTTTTGCGAAGATAAGCCATCACGCGCATTGTTATCAAACTTTGCATAGTCGCAAGCACGACATCGTGATTACATGTAATCTGCATTTTGTCTAATGATTACACCACCAGATGTAATTGTGCACTTGTGACAGCTTGTTACGTAACTCGGTGAAAGAAGCATCGTAAGAAGTTAAGCATGATTTCCAGTAGACACGAATTCTACAAAAAGATTCTTCGAAATTTTCGCTTTCGATGTGCTTCATGCTGCGATAACGTTGTGCTTGCGCATAGAAGATTTTAATTTCACCCGGTATCGAGTGATCAGTGATACAATAGCTTTCGTTGGAGAGGCAATTTGGCTTCTCGAGTATACAACGCCAAGGCTGAAGAGTTACGCAACTCTCGATACGATGCAATGGACTTCCGTTCGCTGGCCCGCGTGCCGTTTGACAAGTAATGCGCTTTGAACGTGACTTTGTCAATCGAGCCATTATCGCGGAAACATAGATCTTTCGAGATATTTCGATTAGCGCGGACGCATTTCCATCCACATCCATCTCATATCCTTATCATATCATGTTATTCATATTGAACAGTCAGCCCATTCATATTTGCCGGCAAGTGTGATAACGAGCTTCCAATCGACACGTGACACATTAATTGATTAGCTTCCTACGGGCCGATATATCCACTCGAGGTACCTTAATCACGAAGGGAGTCGCGTACCCACGAGTTTTTACGAATCTTCGCGAAATATAATTATAGACAATTGAAAGAATTACCATCTTGACAATTCAAATTAACGGGCTTCATATATTCAGGCTACTTGATTACATTATTGATCACATTCATGAAGATGTTCTTTTGAAGGATTCTTTATACTTTTAATTGCATATTACATAAAGCCCATTGCAAAAAGTTGATATATAACGTTGTTATATTGCTTCCGTGAAGCTCATCATCGCTAATGGGCACCCAAAATATCTCGGGAATTATTTGACCGATTTAGATGTAGTTTTGCATAGATATTCTTGGTAAAATTAGTAGTCTTCGTCAAGGTCGATTTTCAAAATATTAATTGGTAATCAAGTTATCAACATCCGAAGTCAATAGTTCGATCTTTTCGCCAGAAATTTCACTTATCATTTATAAAAAAAAAAGCAAAACTAGTATCAAGAAAATCTTACGACAGACTATCTTACTAAGAATATTTATACAAATTATAGACTGTATCGATTAGCGATGACGAACTTCACGGAAGCAATAATAACAGCGTTACGTATCAACTTTGTGTAATGGGCTTTATGTAATACGTAAATAAAAGTATGAAGAATCATTGTTCAAAAGGACATCTTTATAAACTCATAATGTGATCAGCAGAAATTTCAAACATTGGGCGTTTTTCGAGCCGCTCGAATGTAAGCCCTTTAATCAGAGAGAGAGAGAGAGAGAGAGAGAGTGAGAGAGAGACAAAGAGAAGGTCTATCCAAGCGAAGAGCCTGGGTAGCTTAGTTGGTAGAGTAGTTATTCAACAAGCGAAAGGTCCCGGGTTCGATCCCCAATACAACAGCGATCTCGCACTTCCGGTATGTTTTTTCTCTGTCTCTCTTACACAATTTTCAAATACGTTTTCTATCGCAGAGTTTCGCGTTGTCGATTCTCTTACACTCGGTCTAAACGCGCAAGTTCAATCTCGCTGCACGTGGAATTGCCATCACGTGTAGCTTGAAACCAGCTTGCGAGAGTAAATCGGAGCAATTGAGCCAGTCAGTCGAATCTTCGTACAGTTTGGTCAAGCAAGCTCCGTACATATTTTCAGTGATTACTTTTGGTCGGGACTCGAATAATCGTAGAATGAAAATATGAAGAAATATAAGCGCCGAAATCTTCAAAATAACTGGTTCGTATAGTGCCGAATTTTTATTGGCAATATTAAGGAACCCCCACATATAAATTTATTATTTGCTAAAAAAAATACTTTCCTGTAACTTTTTTTTTACTATTCAAGTAATAAGAGTTAATTTTGAATGAAATAAAGATAAATGTACACAATATTACAATATTAAAATCCTACACGTGGTTTAGAAGAAATTAAAAGTAATAGTTAAAAATAGGACATTAATTTCAAGGAACAGGTATAAAAAGTGTCACCTTTTTATACCTGTTACGAGTATTTCAGCTTCTGAATGGTCAATTGTTTTTAACTTTGCAAATGTATAGATAGCATTTCCATTAATGGGCGGCTAAAAAATTTAAAAGGATTAAGAAAATGGTTTGACAGGCCACAATTACCTTAACTGCAACCTTACTAGAAACTCCGCGTAATGTTATACATGTGACGTCTGACGATAAATGATAACAAAAATAAGATAGAGAATAGAAAAAAAAAACAAATAATGTCTAGGGCGAGCGATTCTACTCGCGAAGTCTGTTCGAGTGTCGCGAGAAAAATACGTTAGGTGCGAAAATGACATATGCATACCGGGAAACATTCTCTCTCTATCTATTTCTCTCGTTGCCGGTGACTCTTTCAGTTTACATTCGAACGATCCAGCTCGATATATCACAGTGCTTCGCGCGCATCATATTGTGCTCATCAATGCAGATTTTAATAGATACTTTTTCGCGCGCGTTATCCGAGAGAGAGAGGGAGAGTGAGATAGAGAAAGAGAGAGAAGAAATTAAACGCGTGTGCGCGTTGACGGCACTATACGGTCGCGGCTTATAATACAATAAAACTCCTGTAGACGTTCAACTTTACGTCCATCGACATGCTGAAGCTATATCGCAAATACCGGAAAAACTCTCCGATTTGCTTTGTCCATGACATATTTTCACGCCCGTGTGCCGCGCGATCTATACGCGTACGGCGTCGCTGCTTTTCACGCGGTTTTCTAGAACACCCGTGATCTTCTGGGAGCTCTAGCTCTTTTTCTTTCAACCCACACGGATAAATCGCCGGCGAGCAATCGACGTCAACGTACACTACGAGCGGATATATCGGGCGGACGGTTTATTCCACAATTGAGACACACACGCATGTGCCGAGTTGGTTGGATTTGTTTTTTCCTATCAATCTCATTATCGTGCTTGCTTGTGATAAGACGACGTTGGCACGTGTCTTTTTCTGTCTCCCATGCGTGAATATATATGTATATATGTACGTGTATATATGTACAGCTTCGATGATTGAATTAATCGAGGTAACCTGATTCTCTTTCGCGTATTCCTTACGGGAGCGCGATTCCTCGCGTTTCACATGATCTCCGTAAAAACGTAATGCCGTGTGCGCGCGCGAGAGAGAAATGACGTTGAAGACGGTCGCGAGGCTTCCTAAAGTGGTCGATTTATTTTTAAGCGCCGGCACAAACGAGATCCGCGGAGGTAGACAACGGCGCCTCTATTTTAATCCTATTTTATACTTGGAAAGTATTAAAATGAATAGTTAATAACCGTGGTTAATGGTTCGATTATATAGGACGGAATATCGTGGAACTGTTCTCTGCGATCCGCCGTCCAACTTGAAATCGACTTTTCTCGAACGAAGGTTCATCATTTTCCCGACGGTCCTCCGCGTTAACCCGTTCGCTGCGTACGCCGGTGATATCCGTCGCTGAAAAGTAACTTAATATAAAACGGGGACTGGTAAGGCTCGACGCGATTTTTCCCCGTTTGTATCACTCACAGTGTCGCGCACACAGCGAGCACTTTTAGTCGTAGAGGGCCGCTCCGCAGCGAAAGGGTTAAGCCGAAGGTTCGCTTCCCGACATTAATTCCCTGTGTCCTCGCTCTCCCTTTTCTCACGGAGGACCCCCGCGTCACCGACGGTTTTTCAATTCTCGCCTCTGCCACGATCATGAACGGTGTACAGACACGAAAAAGCGCATCTGCCATGCCAAACGGCGTGTCCTCGACCGATCGTTCCTACCCGTCCTTTGACGTACCATGTCCGGTAACGCGGGCGTTGATATCGCGCGACCGTAAGGTGAAGGACTGCGACGAGGCCGGGGATGCCGCGCGTCGTGGCGTCACAGCGACCACAGCGAGGACGACGGCGACAACGACGACGTCTACGTCCAGGAGCAGCGAGGATGGCCGCAGATGCTCGAACCAAGAGGCCGAGGAGGAGGACGACGTCGGCGCCGGCGGTGG